CAACAGCAGTTAAAAGGTGGTTCCACGCTTCTCATATCCACCAATCTCCCGATGAAAAGACTTGCTGCCGGATGTAGTTTATCGTCATAAATATATCTGTCGGAAAAAATACTGTACCAAAAAACGGATGTATTAAAAAAAAAGCAGCTGTCAAGGAATAACATTCAAGGCAAGTAAATAGAATAGAGGAATAAAAAACACATTATGACCGCACACTATCTTGGTTTTTGACCGTCAGGCCTCTTCGGGTGGCGGACAATAAGTTCTATTGTCCGCCACCTGAGGAAGCCTGACGGTCGAAACCAAGACTGTGTGCAATTATATGAGGTATTTTTACCCCTTTATTTATATATATATATATATATATATATATATATATATATATATATATATATATGTATGTATATATATATTAAGCATTTCATCCCAAGCAAGGCGGAATACCACTAGTACGCAAGGGGTTACAGAGTGGAAGTGAGAGTAAAGAGAAGGACAAGGAATAGGTCAGGGCATCTGGTGATGTCGATTGACATTACATTTGAATAGTTGGAGATTATAGCTATCAGGGAAACAAGTAATAGCAAGAGAATTCCACAGACGAGAGGTGCGAGACATGAAGCTATTGGAGTAGAAGAGACGGCTATATTTAACAGTTTCGACAGTGAAAGCGTAGGATCGAGATGTCGGCCTAGTAGCACGTTTAAATTCATACAGTCTGGGAACTAGCGAAGTAGATCGTCGGATCAGTTACCGTGAAAGTATTTGTAGAATAGAGAGAGGGAGGCGACGGCACGTCTGTGAGAGAGCGACTAAAGACGAGATGCCAGATCATGTCCAACAACATTGCTTATCCGTCTCTGGATCTTGTCGAGGACCTTAAGGCGAACAACGGGAGCACCAGACCATATATGGCAGCAGTATTCCATGCAAGAGCGAATGGTTGATTTGTAGATTTGAAGGATGGACTCGGGCGAGAAAAAACTTTTCGGCGCGACACATGGAACCAACTTTCCTTGCGGTGGATATATATATTCAAATGTTCTCATTTGAATATTCGCTCTGTTTTATTATAAATGATATTTCTTACGTCTACCGTCCTGCCCTCTCGAGAAACATTACTAAAGAAAATGAGTCCTTTTTATTTCCACTTTCTCTTAGACTTCTTCATTGCTTACACACTCCTTCCATGGTATTCTCACTATCCTTCTGTAGAACCAAAATTATGTTACCTTCAGTTTTCTCTTCATCTGTGAGATAATTCCTATCCTTTTTCAACTCTTCGTAACGTTTGATTTCTGCCATCTCTCCTACTGCTATTTCACTATCCATTCATATAAACTTGTCAAGTCGGTGAATCGCTTCATTCCCGTGTGTGTGTGAGAATTAAACATGCTTACACTTAGAATTTTAAATAGCAAAATGATGAGACCTAGCTACCAATCTAGTGCCGGACTTAAATTCATGAAATCGAGGTACCAAAGAGAAAAGAACATCAGAAGTATTGCCATGAAAATTATTTATAGAAAAGGCACAGGAAAGCTACGTTATGATGGTGGGAGTGATTGAGGCAAGTCAGGACCAATAATATTGCAGATTCTTTTTTGAATTTTATCAAGAATCTCTAGATACTTATCAGAAAGATCAGAGTATTTGCTTTAGCTTGTGTTAACGAGGCTCTACTTGAACTGCTTTTTTCTGTATTAAAAAAAATGTGCCGACCGATAAATATTCAGCCTGCAGTTTTTCTTTCTCTTTTTCTTATTTAATCATTTCACTCCAAGCAGACCTTTGAGATGCAAAGGGTGTTACTGAAATGACTAAAATGTCCTTTACTAGTTATTGAAATGACTAAAATGTCCTTTACTAGTATTGATCTCCATAATTTATTTTATGATTTGCTAACCCTCTCTTTGAATTTCTTTCCTCCCACAGAATGCAATAACTTTAATGCCTTATGTCCAATTTGGGCATCACGCGGAGAGTGTACGGCGAATCCAGCATATATGGTTGCCAGCTGCCGTAAATCTTGCAAATTGTGCCATTCTCATCTTGCAGCCAGAGGTAAGTCGTTTATATTATTAGATTTCTGCTTGTGGCTGTGTTCCTGTGCTGAACAATTCTGTAGAAGCAAGCAAGTCAGAGTGGCTTGCATCTGATGCAAAGGAAAATAATTTCCTTACCTCAATACACAACACATAGGGGCTGCATTTAGTTCCTTGAAAATAGCATGAATTTCCTCTCCCCACTTTAGATTATTTCAAATGTGTATATTCTATAACGGTGGCTTTTGTACACCTTAGCGCGGTTCGAACAATTGCAAGTGGCGTGCTAATTGGTCAGATTAAAGAAGGACATTTGACTGAATAAATTAAGACAAAGCAAAGAACGCTAATTGGTCAGTCGGCCGTGGTATTGGTATAATAGATGTATGGTTCAACCAATAGCAAGTGTTTTGATTGGTCGGACTGGAGGAGGCCATTTGACTGGTTAACTGAGGACAAAGCAAAGAACGCTAATTGGTCAGTCGGCCGTGGTATTGGTATAATAGATGTATGGTTCAACCAATAGCAAGTGTTTTGATTGGTCGGACTGGAGGAGGCCATTTGACTGGTTAACTGAGGACAAAGCAAAGAACGCTAATTGGTCAGTCGGCCGTGATGTTAATACGGTAAGAGAGGGCTGAAGCAGTGAGAAGTCAAGCGATTTTTATGTTGGTGACGTGTGCTGGAAATTAAGAACATCAGATTGAAAAAAGAAATATTTTGTGTTGTACAAGCAACATAAGGGGAACAAAAGCTCATTTGCTCTACAGTTCTATAGTTAGCGTGTATGTTACACCCTGTTAATACCTCATAAATAATGGACTATTTCGTTTTGATCGTGAGGATAAACAGAAAAGACGTCAGAGAAACTCTTTGATTTCAATGAAAGAAATAAAAAGATAGAGGAGGCAACAAATCTCTCATGTGTTTAATGTCTGCTAAAAAAACTAGTCATTCCAAATGTTTTATTTGTACCCTCTTACTTCTTTAAATAACAATATGATTGTTATTGCATAATTTGTTAAGCTGAAATATTTAACAATGCAATAAGGGAATTTCTGCATTTTTCTGTATTTTATAATCATGGAACTCACAAGGAGCGTGTTCAATCTGTGATTCTAGAATTAATAATCATCGGAAAGTTAAAACAGGACAACCACAAATATTCTACTTGTTCCCCGTTAGTAAGTTAACTAGTAATGTGTGTTATACTCTGCCATTACCTCAGATAAATAATGGACCATTTCATTTTGATTGCAAGGAAAGATGGAAGTAAAGAGATACCAGGAACGCTGTTTGGGCTTAATGAGAAAAAGAAGATAATGCTCTCAAGCATTTAGAGGTTGCTTCAGTGAAATAGAAGGCTATGTCAATTTTAAAAAAAATCATTTGTACCCTCTTACTTCTTAAAAATAACGATCTGCATTCGTGCTTATGATTGTTCTTGCTGTATTTTGCTAAAGTGGTTAAGCTCAGATATTTAAAAATGCAATTGGAGAATTGCCAGGGGTGTTTTCTAGTTGGAGAACACACAAGGAACTTATTCAATTCTAAATTAAAAATTATGATCGTCAGAAAATTCAAATAGAAAAACTGACATTTTACGTGTACTGCTCGTTAACCGAAACTTTTATCAGGTGGGCAAAATGTTTTTTTTTTTTTTTGTTGTTTTTTTTTGTTTTTGTATTTTCAATACTCTCCTTTTTATCAGCTTTTAATAAACGGATAAACATGAAAAGAAAGACAACAATGCCAAAACTTTTTCAGCAATAATCAAACCTCTATGCATATCCACTATCAGTTGACTTCCAGAAGTAAATGACAGTGGTGGTACGGTTTTCTCTGGAAATTTTTAATCATTTCAAATGAATTCAACACGTGAACGGATAATTAATTCAGTAAATACACAACAATAGAAAAGGATGTAAGACAAAGCTGTGTCTTCTCACTCGATACTACTGTATTAAAGAACAAATGAAAGCAAACATGATCAATGAAAACTATATATATAATTTAGTTTTATGATGAAGGTTAGTTTTATGGCTAGGTTAGCATTGCAAGTGTTGACTAAAAATTAAACAATTTTTGTTCATAATAACAAAATCAAAAAGAATATTTTTGTGATGTCAGTGAACACTCGTTGCCACTTTTGTGGTGCCAATGAATACTCCTTGTCACTTTCATAATGCTCGTTGTAGTAGAGACTTTGTAATCACAGATACAACTATAGTACGCCGTTGAACAATGCTGGAGTCAGATACCTTTGAATATCACTCACACTAATCGTACTTTCTTGTTAATACTCCCTCAAGTAGTAACCTGTATAGTGATCCAAATAGAGAAATAGTATAGTGAATAGAGTAGAGGATAGCGGTCCGTATAGTAATAGAGGATAGAATAGGAATGCAGATTCAAATAGTAATAAAGGATAGACTAGAAATGGAGATCGTTTAGACGTCACATTACCTCCCACTTATGCGTTTCCTCTATGGTCACATGATTCACGTAATTTAATAATGGGATCACCTATGTTTGCTCACTGGCAATCTATGTTCAAACTCAAGTGTTGGCAGTGACAATTTATTCCTATATAACAAATATACACTACTAGCAAATAATAAAAATCCAGTGGATATTTTTTGTGTCTAATGAAGAACTATTTGATTGTTAATGACTCTTCACAAAAATATAGAAAATACCAAAATATTTGTTGTTTTGTAAAGATATTTATATCTTATCTAGGAATGTGACCCAATTAGCATCCATTTTATTTCTTTATTTATTTTTTTACTATACAGGATTTTTTGCAAATCTCCTTTAGATATTTTTTTCAGGTAGGATATGTTGAAATAACTTTTTAATACACAAAATCTTATATCATATATCAAAATTTCCAATCGCCACCATTTTCTGTTCAGTTGCTCATCGCCCACCCAACAGTTGAAATCGGCCACTGGTTGGCGATACTGCCTAGGTAGGGAAATTTACATCATCAAACAGCATTCAAATATAAAGCTTTGTAAGTGTCATTGGTTGAAAGCACAAGCAACTTAAGCATTTGTCGAACATAATCATTTCTTGAGGGTTTGAAATTGAAATTTTGAATGTTGAGTTTAGTTTTTTTTTAATTCCCAAAATGATTGTCTGATGAATTATTAGAATGGATATCCAACAGATAACCAAAAAATGTCCGGATGATTTCAGTTTTTCTTTTCATTTTATATCCAGCTAATCGAAATCCAGAAAATCAAGGAAATATGGTAATATTTTTTTTAAAAATGTGTTTCATGTTTCTTTTCCTTTTTTTTTTTATTTTTCAGACATACAGTGTTTTGATTGGAATAACAATTGCTCTGATTGGAAATCTCATGGCTTCTGTACCAATCTCCTATACAAATCTTATATGATTACAAACTGCCCTCAGTCTTGTGATGCATGTAGCTAATTTGAAGGCTGGGAAAACATTATGTGGTAAGTTTAGAAAAGAATTTGACACTAATTACGTAGAATAGTCAACTCATAAAAAATATGGAAAAATATTATTTTGGATTCATTTTTGTAGATTAGAATTCATTAAAGCTTTCTCAAAGTGCGACTTTTGTCAAAATAAAAATTTTCATCATTTTAGAAGTGGGGGGGGTCCTTTTCATAATATCGACTGAACGTCAAATCGGTCCCTGACTTTTCACAGAGTTATCTGGACTTGGTTGTATGTAAACAGATATATATATATATATATATATATATATATATATATATATATATATATAATAGTAAAAAGAAAGAACAGTAAGATATATAATCCGGTGTTCTTATTGATTTTTTTTATTTTTGCAAAACAGTGCTCAATGTAAATTTGCACAGCATAAGTATCATAAGTTAACTGATTTAAAAATATGGTTCCTTCGCTACACAGGAATTAACATGTTTCAATAATCGAAGTTTTTAGCCTCAGTTTTTGAAACATGATAATTCCTGTGTAGCAAAGGAACCATATTTTTAAATAAGTTAATTTATAACAATTCTAATCTGACATTTGTAAATAACAGCTAAATCCAATAACTCTATAAAAAGTCACTGTTCGATTTTACACTGTATCGATATTGTGAACAGGTATTCAATCCTAATAAATGTCATGTATTTGGGAAGGCCTAATGAATGTTAGTCTACAAAAATTATTCGTTGAAAAATATTTGTCTATATTTTCAAAAATTCTGTTAGTTAATCCTGAATTTTACTAATTTTTTTAAAACAAATATTGAAAAGAAATATTTTATTCTGTCTATATTTCTGAGATGTGGTATTACGTACATTATTCGGACTATTGTCCCCGTCTTTGTCACCATATGTATTACATCGTTTCGACCGTTGTACGCTCCGGCCTTCTTCAGGTGGTTGGAATGTCGAACTTAACCCTTTACTTGGCTCACTGGGCTAGATTGCTCTAGTTTCACTTGCCATGTTTTAATGGATGTCAGTTATCAGTTATCTCCTGTTAATTCCACTCTTAAATTTCTTAACTGCCTTAAGTGGGTATTGAACTCACACTCTTTGGATCCTGTCACTGGATTTAACTAATACCTATATCCACTTGATGATATCTGTACATGAATTTCTGGGTATTATAAACCTAATGTCTCAGCAAACAATTTTACCAGTGCTCATATTGCAATTTTTTGCTGTTATCATTGCATGTTTTTGCCAGAGAAAAGCGATAATAACAACAAAAATTGCAATATGAGCTCTATGAGTAATTTCAGAATTACTAACATTTATTTTTAATCTCCAAAATGTAAGTTATTTTAGTCCCTAGAATTGACCCTGAATTCAGCAAACTGAATTTATACTTTTATTTGATGATTTATTCAAAATATTTCTCTTCTTTTCATTATTACAGACACACAGTGTTTCCTTGTCTTTTCATCTTTCCTCTTCTCTTTCTTCATAGCATTTGAATCTTTTGTGAAGTACAAACCGTCTGGATCATCGACATCTTGATTATATCATTAGTCTCATTTCAAGTTACATATGCTATTCATTTAAGTTGTTACTGCTGTTGAAAGTCCTCAAGTGATGTGGTTTCTGTTATTTGGTACAGTTCTTTCTTTATGATTTTGTAGGTTTCCTTCACTCGAAGCCACCTTTAAACATCAATTTGAGAAAGTAGTTATATATAAATGACAGTATTTGAAGTGTTTCAAATGTACTTATGGTAGGCATTAATGAATTAAACATTGATTAACTGCTTTTAATTAAATTTATAATGAAATATATATTTTTTTTAAGCTTTAATTATTTTTCTTAATGTCTTTCTCCAGATGCTGTGACTCCTGAGGGTTGATGCACAGGCAACAAATATTCTATCTACTTTGTCTGCAAAAAATGTTACTCGTATTCTTTGGCATGTTTCAAGAAATAAAAATCATTTGTTACCATTTGCAATATTTTTTTATGTAAACTTTTTAATGAACTAAATTAAAAGCTTGTTCTCCCAAAATAAATCCTTATTTTATTTATTTCTTTTGTTAAACTTTAACACACTGCATTAATCATTACTTTCCTTTCTACTGCATTGTTTTTCAAAGCTCCTCTATTGGAATATTTCAGTCCTGGTCATTTTCTGTTGCCATAGTAGGATATGACAACACAACTACAAAATTCAAACACGCTACCATTCATTCATCTGAGTCACTTGTAATGGCAGGGTAAAATTTTGGCTTTGTAAACAAAATCACCTCCAGAATGTTAAAGGTTAATAGCAAAAATGATTTTAGACAAATGATACAACTCAGCACCAATCCTATTTTCATATATTGAATTTAAGAAGACTAAAAAGCATTGTCTTTGAGTGTGGCCAAATTTAATCATCTGTTGAGTTCTGTTTCAGAAGTAAATCATGGATACATAGATTTTGGTATCAGTTTAAGTATCTTGGAAGTGATTCTTTATAGATACCAAGGGATGATGGTACCACAAAAGCCATGAATAGCTATAACAAATAAATGCTTCTCAAATATGAGCCTTTATAAATATTAATCGTAATTGAAAATATACAGGAACTTTAGGTAAGCAGTCTTTGTTCAGATAAAAAGCCATATTTTTCCCCTTGGAAGAAAAAAAAAAAATTTTTTTTTTTTGGTTTCTCTTGTTTTAGGCTTTTGAAAAGTGTGAGACAAAATATAACATCCTGAGAATAATTGCTCCATAATTCTCTTGTTGGCTAAACAATGAATAATGCCAAAACATTTGCAACAAGCTTGAAACACTTTTTTTCGTTTTTTTTTTTTTTTTTTTTTTTTGCGGGGGTGTGTGGAAAGCGGGTTCGATTTATTTTTAGAATTAATCTTTAACACACTGCATTAATCATTACTTTCCTTTCTACTGCATTGTTTTTCAAGGCTCTTCTACTGCACTACTTAATTTCAGTCATGGTCATTTTTTGTTGCCATAGCAGGATATGACAACACAAGTGCAAAATTCAAACACGCTATAATATATGATTTGTAAGCAAAGTCACCCCCAGGAACTTTAAAGAATATGTGGCACTCCGGGAATTACACTGACGGGATTTTGTTTTTCATTCTATATAAAGATGGGGATAAAATAGTGTTCTACTCCATTTGCTGGTCACCTTGCAAAAACCAAAATATCTGTTATTAATCAATGCATAAAATTTGAATATAATCACTTTCTATGGAAACCAGAATTAGGAGATCAATCTTGAACTCGGCATTCATATATTCACTATATACATTATAAAAATTTTAACTCTCTACTAAATCCAAAATTCTTGTACCAAACACAAAATCTTGTTACTAGAGATAGAAAGGGAAATGAGAACTCATGCCTCTCATACCCTTAACTTGAAATAGGCACAAGTCACAAAACTCAGCTGCGTAAAATATTAAAGAGGAAAACATTTATTACAGTATAGACAAAAAAAGGTACATATAAATCAATGTCCGTATTTGTTTTTGACAGATAATATTTATTCCTAAACATCATTTTCCTGTCATTGTGACAATTTGAACGCTGGAGAATAGTTTCTTTGGAAGATTTTATATCATACAATTTTGACTTTCCTACGTTAAACTCAGCCATTAGTTACAATGACCTTTCACCAGCGTCTAGTCTGTTTGAAATTTCCACTTTTTGTGATAACTCCAAAGTTGTTCTTTTCCTCTTATTCCCATCATCTTTTGCACCAATACCAGCCATTAGGGTGAAAGAAGCATAAGCAATTATCCAAAGTAAATTTCCTGAAAAACAGGAATTTCAAATCATTTACATATCACAGAAATAGTTCAAATATACACATCAAAATCATGTCCGGATATGCGTGATTCTGGATATGAGGCACTCTGGATTTGAGGGATTTCAGATATGAGGCACTCGAGATATGAGGAATTCCAGATATGCGGCACTCTGGATATGAGGGATTCCAGATATGTGGCACTCCGGATATTAGGGATTCTGGTTATGTGGCACTCCGGATATGAGTGAATCTGGATATGTGACATTCCGGATATGTGACATTCCGGATAATAGGATTCTGGATATGAGTCACTCAGGATATGAGAGATTCAGATACATGGCACTCCGGATATGAAGGATTCCAGATACGTGGCACACCGGATATGAGGGATTCTGGATTCCAGAAATATGAGGCACTCCAGATATGAGTGTTTCCTAATATGAGGGATTCCAGATATGTGGCACTCCGGATATGAGGGATTCTGGATATGTGGGAATCTGGATATGAGGGATTCCAGATATGTGAATACTCCAGATATGAGGAGTCTGGATATGAGGCACCCAGAATATGAGGGATTCCAGATACTTGGTACTCTGGATATAAGGGATTCTGGATATTAGGCACTCTGGATATGAGGGATTCTGGATATGAGGGATTCCGGATATGGGGCACTCCAGAAATGAGGCACTCCAGATATGCGGCACTCCGGATATGAGTGATTCCAGATATGTGGCACTCCGGATATGAGGAATTCTGGATATGAGTGATTCCGGATATAAAGGATTCTACTGTACATATAGCTTCATAATAATGAAAAAGTATTTGTTTTTGGCAGGAAATATTATTCCTAAATGTCATTTCTTCGTTAATCGAATTCATGTAACGATTCTCAATTAATAAAAAAAGAAATTTACAGATTGAACAACCCCACACCAAAGTTGTCAAATCATGGAATTGTTGATCTACGCTAATTCTAATGAAAGGCAAATATTCAGTGAGCAATGTTTGGTAATGATATCCAGAACGAGGCTTCTGAGATAAGGAGCCTGTAAGCAGAGTTAAACCTTTTACAAGGAACAGAAAACTATTGAGGTAACTGTCGTTGCTTATTCTATGTATCTTGTTCCTTCAGGGCATATGCGATAATGGCTCTCCACAACTTCCTATCCTTCTTAACTTACAATAATATTTGTCTTTTTACAATCCCTCTCAATCCTTGTTCTGCCAACACAACCTTGTTAGGTAAGCTACTAACTGCTTTCCTCTGTCCCTCTTACCTTCAATGTGCCCTGTGGGTGTTCATTTTTACATGCCTTCTTTTCTCATTATGTCTCCAACAAATTTCAATTGTTTCTTTCTGATTCTAACTATACGCGTCTTTTTCGTTTCAATTTTCTGTAAAACTTCCTCGTTACTCACAGGCTCCATCCATGGTATTCTCAGTAGTCTTTTGTAAAACCACATTTTTTGCCTCAGTTCTCCTCTTCATCTATGAGGAAATTGTTCAGCATTCCCAGGAGGACTGATATTATATAGCAATTCAGCACTGTTTATTTCTAACGAAATTCTCCTGTCTCTTGATAATTTTAGTTTTTAGAAGGAGTATTTTGCTATTCCAATACACTTTTGCATTTCAGTGTCACCATTACCGTCATCTGTTAAAACATTTCTCAGATACAAGTATACCTCACCCTACGTCGTTAATTGGTTCCAGAGGTCACAACTTAGGTCGAAAAATGACTTAAATCAAAATAACCACATTATAAACCACAAATAACCACTCCCAATTACACAATTTATGATATATACGTACAGTGCTCTGAATAAAATGATTAATTTCCACCTTATCTTCCAGTGATATGGCTTTACGCTTAGCGTTAGCCCTTGCACTAGTATTATTCTTCGGAACCATGGGTGAAAATGTATTCTAAAACACAATTGAAATATAAATGGAAGAACATTATCGGCAGAGAACAGATGTAAACAAGTCTGAATTCACTATTGCTGTTGGAGCGAAAAAAAATAAGAGTGCCCCCCTCTTGTCAGGAACTTGAAATAAGGATATCTGCTGAACATACTTTATTATGTTCTTATGTTTTTGCTATTTATATATATATATATAAAGAAATATAGTTTTAAGGTGTGCTATATTTATGGGATAAAGTGAACATTGAAGTCAAGACTTATATATATATATATATATATATTATGAAATGGACAATTATTTTAAGACATTTTTTTAGCTTTATACTTTCTTTTTATAGATACAAATATTTAAGTAAATGCTCTGTTAATGTTTATATCATTGAACACTGAAGTCAACACTTAGAGGCGACAGGCCGTTTCATGGTAGACGCAATCGTCAGGCCACGAGGATTAACTTAATTATCTTCCCAAACCAAAACAAAACTATTTAATAAGCAATATACATACATTTTTACTACGTTAATAAAACTCCAATTAAAATAAGAATAAATAAGTATATAAGAAAAAAGTAAAAATGAATAAAAACAAGCAAAATAATCTAACCCAATTAAATAATAAATAATAAATAAACGACTTCCGGCAAAATAACTGCCAAAACAGACTACCCACAATGCACCACTGACCCGTATATATAAATAGCCGAGAAAAAAAAACATTAGTGGCCTGACGATTGCGTCTAGCATGAAACAGCCTGTTGCCTCTAAGTGTTGACTTCAATGTTTACATTTATATTCATTTTTCATTAAGTCTTTTGTGAAAAATTCTTTGAAATTTTTTTTCATTTTTCGTTGTCCAACCACAAGAGAATTTTCACTTTTGAACATCAAAATGTCTTCGGTTTTCTGCAACTGCCTTGTAACCTCCTGCCTTATTGTGAAGATACTTTCTGCTTGATGTCAAAATGCCTTCTGGAGTTGTCTGCTTATAAGAATTATTCTGTTCAAAGAAGAAGATCGTAGAAGACTCCATTCAAGTTTTCACAAGAGCTTGAAACTATGGTTATCATTGGCCAGTAAATATGAAAAAAAAAAAAAACCTTTTTGGCAAATTCTAAATGAAACATTAACAATTTTGGTGTTTTTTAACCGCTGAGCCTAAGA